TGCGAAAAGCAAACAAACGCGCATAGAAAATTACTCAGCTACATAAAACTATACAATAAGCGTAAGGTATTCCAAGCAGCCCTAGAACCAAGGGAATCATAAATGAAGGGGAAAATTGCTAACCGAAAAGAAAGCAGTGACAAAATGATAACCAGTGTAATCCACATCTGAGCAAAACTTTCTTACTGAAGGATACTGGTTCAGCGAGCTGAATGTGTATCTAATCGACAAAATCTAATCAAAACCACTTCTCGTCGCATTTTTGTACATAAGCATCGGATGTCCAATGAGTACTTATCTTTCATTGTGATAAGTAAAAGCTGAGTTGCAATCATAAACTTGATACGTACAAATGTACTAGGGTCGAGTGATAAATTGACAAAAAATTTTAAATTTGAATTTACGATCAGAATCTGGTGTCAAACTGTTATTCATTTATATTTAAGTCGTCACTTAGTATAGTCCATGTATATAAAGCGGCTTGCTCTGTCACATCGGATCGCACCGACGATGCTATGGTGTGTAGCTAAACGAGTTACAGTACGAAACATTATAGCATGAATATCAACGCAGTCTGATGCGGTCAACCATGAATGTACAAATTATTTACAGTGCTTAGGTTAGTAAAACCGACCGAATCGCTTGCCGATCTATGTTCAGAACGAAACGTAGGAGAAGGAAAAACTGCAAAGCATCAGTATTTAAGAATAAATACCCTGAAATCTGATTTAAATAGCACTAAACTAGGAATTACGGGAATATAATCGAAAATGAAGTACAAACCATAACAAATCACCTGTAGAGTGGGTGAGACTTTGTGTAACTGTCTCGTTTTACGTCTGGCTACTGTCTGTGAATAATTTCAGATCTACCCGTTAATGTTGAATCTTCTATTATGAATCTCAGTCGCACGGCGAAAACACACGAAACTCAACATCCGCTGAAACAACATGTGTACCATTGTTTCGCATGCAAGCCTCAGTTCATTTTCGTCAGATACACAAAATGTTTAATAGTGGTGAGCATTCTGTGCCTAAAATAATGAACTGCGAAAAAATTAATTCATCTAATTAATTCATAAAATCAACGTGTCATTTTAGTACTGTTGCAGTACCTGGCGTCCAAAAATCTCGATCGAAGGATCATCACTGCTTCACAGGTCGACTGCTTGAGCTGCATCTGAATGGCTGAAAATTTTTTGTGAATAATCTGGACCATTCGTTCGATTTCTTTCGGTGTTATTGGACGCATTCGACTCTGTTCTCGAAGCAAGTTGATGACGTGCGTTGTGAATTCGTTGCATGCCTAAATTTTACGATGAAACCTCAAGAAACAAACAACGATAAGATCACGTTTAGGAAAGTGGCATAAATGCCTTCAACAAACGTAACAGATTTACTGCAAGTAAAGTAAATTTCGTACGCTCATCCTCCAACCAAAAAAATCACCCCAAAAGTGAGAAAGGGATCAAGACTAAAGCAGTGCACTTCAAACTCGAAATGCTAATCACTTCACACCCTCAGTGATCCAAAATCCGCATATTTCTGAGAAAATTTACCGTAAGGGATAATCAGAAGTGCAGGACTTTCGAATTAGGGATGAATAGACATAAGCATTCAAAATGTTTAATTCTCAACCTCGAAACAACCTATTCATTTCCAACTTAACGGCACATTCCTACTTAACTTCGACAACTCCCACCGCCAAGTTATCTTCAGAGTCGAGTAGAACCACGTTAGAATAACGACAAAAATTACGGAAACGGCACGCCTTTCTAATACAAAGCTCAAAGCAAGCGAAAAAATTAAAACTATACGGCTGCAAACTGCGTTTTCTCAATGGGTCATCACGAACAATTCTTTTTTTACTTAATTCGTCTGATCATGCAATGGTTGTATAAGCTGTGAAATTTATGCAATGGAAGAGAGACCACTGGAAATCACAGTCAAAAA